ACGCCTCTGCACAGGGGACTGGCTGGGAGAGATTCGCTGCTCTGTCCTCAGCAGGGAGCTGCTGCTGTCCTTGCGGGAGACGTGCTCCTCCTCCAGCCAGGCAGCTCCGTGTGCTGAGCATTGAGCCCTTGACTGGGCAGGGCTGATTAAGCAGCTGTGGGGCTGTGCTACCGCCCAGCTTAGAGGGAATCTTAATCCTGATCCAACCTTCACTGAAATCAACGGGAGTCCTTCAACTTTCCTAGGTGGAAGCTGGATAAGGCTCTTGATGACGACAAAGACAGGACACGATGACCCCTCGAGGTCCCTCCCAGTCCTAGTGTTCTATGATTCTGAGTATTCTATGAAAGACGAATGAGATACGGTTGCCCCTCCACCTAGATTCCCACTTGTACAGAGAGGGCAACAAAAAAAATCAGAGCACAAAGACCCATCTCCTCTGGTATCCCCTCTGCTGCAGTGGTCACGATGGGTTGCTAGAGGAATATATAAACTCCTCCTAATGCCCCTCAGCCGCCAACTCCAGTTGGTCAGTGGCCTGTGCTCTGAATTAGGAGGAATAATTTAACCAAGTCTCCAATGCAATAAATACATAAATAAATAAAATGGGTGAGGGGAGAGGCTAGATGTTTCCAGTGGTTTGTTTTTGCCACCCCACTGTCAAAGCCTAGGAGAAACATGGCACTTTAACTTTTACCAGGCTATGGCTAGGGGAGCCAGAGCATGGGGTGGGAGATGTAGGATTACCCCCACCTGGCTTCCTCACGTTAAAAGCTGTCTACTCTTTGGCTCCACTGGGATTTTGCAGCACGATGGTTACTATCCATTACTTATTACGCTGTAAAGACCAAGATTTTGCTCAGTGAAAAAGCTGAAAGGTGATGCCTGAAGCTCTGATGACATAAAGGTGGCCCTCTCCAGCTGTCACGTGATCAGTTTCAGACCTCTCCTTGGTGGAGTCCCGTCTCTCTCCTGCTCCCAGCCCCTCTTCCCTTGCTCTGACTGTACCACATGGTATTCTGGTAAATCTGTCATTAACATAACTGCTTGTTGTCAACAGTTGCCCCTCGCCGGTCTGGGGAAACCCTCCCCCGGCAGAAGAAAAGAGTGACGTGAGCCTGACTTGCAATGTGAATTCCAACCCTCAAGCTCACATGGTTTGGTATAAAGACAACAGCAGCCTGAGCCTGGAGAAAGGTCGCTACCAGATACACCAGACTAGCGAGGTCTTCCAGCTGACTATCAAGAAAGTACAGAAATCTGACAACGGAACATACACTTGTGAGGCTACCTCTGTTCTCGGAAGGGAGACGAAGGAGTTCCACCTGACAGTAACAGGTAATGCTCACGAGTGTGCAGCTAAGAGCACAGCAAGGGTAGCGCGGCTTGTGCACTGACTGGTTAATAACTACAATGTTAGAGCCACAGTAGATGCTTTTCTTGCTCCATCAGTTATTTAAAAGGATTTGGCGGCTGTATCTGAAGCGGCAGCTTCCCCTCTTCTGCTCTCCTGCAGCCAGTTGTGTGCGTTAGAACTTCCAACACATTCCAGTCCCCGCTTCAGTGGCATGCACGTTGGACAGCTTGAATCCCAGGAGTTATTAGTTGCCCCGAGCAAAACGTTATATTTATAAACGCTGCAAATCCCTGGGCCAGCAGAGGGTGCTGCGTCAGCTGGTGAGGCTCTGTATAGTCACAGAAACATGGATGCATTAGCGGCATCAGGGCACTAGATGATATCTGCACTTCAGGGCAGGCTGTTCTATTACGTTTGCACAATGCCCAGCACAATTAGCCTGATCACGACGGGGATCTCTAGCACACCTGCACTGCAAACAACATACAATAACTTATTGTTCTCCCTCGATGGAATTCAGTAGAAATTAGCGGAGGAGTGGCTGAAAACAAGACGTTTTATTTGAATGAAGCAGGGCAATGACACGAGTGTGCTTTGAATAGCCGGTTGCAAACAGGGCCAGGCTAATTAAGCTGCACGGCTCACCTTTCAAGGAGATTTTCTTATTCCCATTTTACAGATCAGAAAATGGGGTCGAACAAGATGCAGGGTCTTGTTCAAACTCAAAATCAAAGCACAGAGCAGCAGCAAAGGCAAAAATCAGACTTGAGTCCAAAATCCGGGAGAAGTAACTTTGGCTTCTGTGCAGACTACTGGCCTCTCCCAAGAAGGCCGGTTGTTGTCTGCTTTCTGTCCTTATTTAAAAAACAATGTGAAGATTCTCTGCGTACTAACTGTTATTAAGTCTGTGTCAAAAGCAAGAGGCTAAGTCCCCTTTCGAAAGAAATCCCTAACTTCCTCCCCTCCTTTCACAGGGCTGTGGACACAAAAATAAGAAAATAAATGGTTTGCTGGCTGCAGGGCTGCCCATAAGGCATTCTCCCCTGTCCCTAGAACATGGGTTCCCAAACTAGGGGGGTGTGCCGAAACTCCAGGAGGGGTGCGAGGCAACTCAGCCTCCCCCGTCAATCCCTCCCCCCAAGTTTTGCTGCTATTTTTGTTTTTTGGCCCCGGTCAGTTCCTTTTTTTTTGCTTAACAAGTTTTGCTGCTATGGGGGGGAGGGGGGGGGTTCTTTAAATATCAAAAAGAGGGCGTGATGCCAAAAAGTTTGGAAACCACTGCCCTAGAACCATTGTGAAACCAGCGGTGTCAGAAAACATGCTGCATGGTTGCTTATCCTTACTCCGTGTCCATGGCCTGATGGCTTAGAATCATAGAATACTAAGACTGGAAGGGACCTCGAGAGGTCATCGAGTCCAGTCCCCTTCCCTCATGGCAAGACCAAATACTGTCTAGACCATCCCTGATAGACATTTATCTAACCTACTCTTCAATATCTCCAGAGACGGGGATTCCACAACCTCCCTGGGCAATTTATTCCAGTGTTTAACCACCCTGACAGTTAGGAACTTTTTCCTAATGTCCAACCTAAACCTCCCTTGCTGCAGTTTCTTGTTCTATCCTCAGAGGCCAAGATGAACAAGTTTTCTCCCTCCTCCTTATGACACCCTTTTAGACACCTGAAAACGGCTCTCCTGTCCCCCCTCAAGTCTTCCCTTTTCTAAACTAAACAAACCCAATTCCTTCAGCCTTCCCTCATAGGTCATGTTCTCTAGACCTTTCATCATTCTTGTTGCTCTTCTCTGGACCCTCTCCAATTTCTCCACATCTTTCTTGAAATGCGGCGCCCAGAACTGGACACAAGACTCCAACTGTGGCCTAACCAGCGCAGAGTAGAGCGGAAGAATGACTTCTCGTGTCTTGCTCACAACACACCTGTTAATGCAGCCCAGAATCATGTTTGCTTTTTTTGCAACGGCATCACACTGCTGACTCATATTCAGCTTGTGGTCCACTATGACCCCTAGCCAGACAACACACTGAAGTAGCCACCAATTAATATTTCCAGCTAATCCAGTAAAAATGTTTGGCTGCTTGTTGTTTGCTTCTTTCTTTTTGAATGTTAGAACCACATGACTGTCCCAAATATTACAACAGGTTTTGTACTCTGTTTTTAGCACAGTTCGGGTCACCGTGTAGACTGGGCCAGGGAGGAACCCTTTGCTCTCTTTTGGATGCCTCTAAAATGACTTGCTTTATAGAACTGTATCAATCTGTCCAGCATCCAAATATGTGTTTTTTTTCCCCCCTTCCAACAGATAAAAAGCCACCGTTTCCCCTGGAGGCCATTATTGCTGCTGTCGTGGTGGTTTTACTTACTATAATTTTTGGAATTGTGGCTCGATGGGAAAAAATATTTAAGGTAACAAAAGTATCAGTGCATCAGAAAACACAATGGGCTCAGCACAGCTACTGCTGGGAAAAAGCTCTGTTTAACCTCCGCGTTATTGGGGAGGGGGGAGGGGAAGTTCAACACAACACAGCTGTTGCTTCTCGGACTTAGAAATGCATCAGGAAAGGTGGCCTGTTGGGTTCATCTAATGTGGGTGTGACCAGGTGCACTCACAGGAGACCCCTTGGGGGTGCCTCCCGGAGGGCTAACAAGGCCACTGCCACTTGCCTTCCTAGTCTCTGGAGCGTCCCACCGCCCTGTCCTGCTGAGCCAGCTCCCTGGTCTCCCTCGGCCAAGTCACCAGCCCCCCTCTCCCCCCCCAAGAAGCAGCACAGACACTGAAACTCTTCAGGGCCAAGGAAAATGCTGTTTTGGGCCCAGCTTCCTGGGATACCCCTTGTCATGGCTCCTTCCCCACTCTGGCATGATAAATGCAGAAGTGGGGGCCAGCAAGTGTACCCCAAAGCCTTATCTACCAGGCTTTGGTATAAAAATTCCCCCAAGATCTTAAAAACCTAGATCTTGGGAATAAAACTTCCGCTGCCACCACCTAAATGTTGATAAAGAAATCAGGGGAAAGATCATTTGGGAAATCTTACCCCTAAAATAAAAATCAAGGCACACAATTAACCACTGCCAGGTTAATAAAAAGAAAAGAAAGAACCTTTATTATTACAACAATATTCCTGTTGCAACCATAATGACTAGATAGGGAGGTAACAAAATATACTCAAGGAGAAACTCCATGGGCCTAGAACTTAGTTACAAAGAAAAGCCAAAACATCTTTTAAACAGTGCCAGATCTCAGATCCCATACCCCATCCTTAAAACAATAAAACCTAACGAAACTGCCTAAACTTTACCCTACTTACAGAAAATGAAGAATGGTGTCTTGGAGAGAGAGAGAGAGACATGCTTGTCCCTCTCTGTAGCTGCAGAGAACTCTCTCGGAGAGACAAAAGGAGAAAGGAAAAAAACTCAAATTCCTTTGTCCCAGTTTGAAAAGTCCCACCTACATTCCTATTGGTCACTCCACCTGGCTAGGTGTAGTTAACCCCTTAATCCCCAGGCTGCTGGCTAACCCTCATAATCATGACACCCCTCCCCCAATGGGATCAGAACCCCCAATGAATTATTTGGGTAAGCCCCCTTTAGCAATGTACAGGGGAATGGGCACCCTGGTTGCTCCCCTAGGTAACAATTATTTACACTGACCTTGATAGTAAATAAAAGTTATTTTATTAAGTACAAGCAGTAGGATTTAAGTGGTAATCAATGAGAACAGGCAGAGCAAAGCAGATTACAGTCTTAAAATAAAAGAAAATACGTAGCTAATACTAACACGAAAACCTCAGTGCAAACTTATTACAAACGCACCCTAAAAGGGTTCCTTTTCCTGCAAATCCCGCAGCCTGGGGACTTTGGATCCCTTTCATGGCAGTGTCCCAGCCAAAGACAAAGACCTGCTAGTTTCCTATTGTTTTAAAGATTTCCACTTTTGCCTAGGAAGTTACCTGGCTAGTCCCTACCAGTTAGGGAGGTCATGTGACTTCCTAAAACCAACCCCTGTTAAGATGTAAGGACAAAAAGCTATCTGCATATGATTGCCCAGACACTGAGGCATCCCAGCATTGGAAACACGCGCGATGGCTTTCCTTTGCACATTTAAAACCATAAAGCATTCCATACTGCATGGCTGTGTCTAGACTGGCAAGTTTTCCCACAAAAGCAGCTGCTTTTGTGGAAAAACTTGCCAGCTGTCTACACTGGCCCCCTGCAGTTCTGCAAGAACACTGACGATCTCATGTAAGAAATGGGTGCTTCTTGCGGAAATACTGTGCTGCTCCCGTTCGGGCAAAAGTCCCTTTTGCGCAAAAGGGCCAGTGTGACAGCTCAGATTTGTTTTGCGCAAAAAAGCCCTGATGGCGAAAATGGCGATCGGGGCTTTTTTGCGCAAGAGCACGTCTAGATTGGCCACGGACGCTTTTGCGCAAAAAGTGCTTTTGCGCAAAAGCGTCTGTGCCAATCTAGATGCTCTTTTCCGCAAATGCTTTTAATGGAAAACGTTTCCGTTAAAAGCATTTGCGGAAAATCATGCCAGTCTAGACGCAGCCCAGATGTCTAATTTTACCCACGAGAATGATACATGCACCAAAATGACATACAGATCCAGCGGCTTATGACATAAAGATTGATAGGTTACATGAGACAATTTGTCCAAAGCACCTTTGAGTTAGGCTTATCGGTGTCCACAAGTCCATTTTCTAAAGCATGGAGATAGGAGGGGGGGCGGTTACTTGGTATCTTCAGCCACTTGATTCTTTCTAATGTGGGGGTGGGTGCAGATGTGGTGTTGTGAGAGGAGATATTGAAATTTCCCATCTACAGAAATGACAGACATGGAGTTGTCCCCCTACTTTCTGCTCATTATATGGTAGCCTGAACTACACCCTATGAATTCACTGGAAGTTTGTGTTGTGGCAGGGTCAGGCTGGGTTACTAGATAGGAGATTGTGAAGTAAAACAGTCAGGAGCACTTTAACCATGATGCCAGCAGCTACTAAGAAATTAGCTGACAGGAGCACTGTGCCTAGTTCCTATATAAAAAAAGAATTAAATAAATATTAGACCCGCTCATCTCTGATGGTGACACGTTCTCATATCTTCTGTCAACTCACTTCAGGGACACTGGGTAGGTGTCAACTTTTAATGTATTATCCTACCTGTGTTGGCCTATCTCCAATCATGGTTAGTCTCCCTTAGGCTACGTTTATACTGCTGCGCTATTTTGGGATACCAGAGGTTTCCCAAAATAGCTATTCTGTGTCATTTTGAGCATCCACATTATTTCGAAATATAACGAGCTTTCTATTCCGACGTCCCTGTAAACCTCATTCCATGAGGAATAAGGGACATTTCGGAATAGTGGGTTATTTCGAATTTCGAAATAAGCTATTTCAAAATAAAATTGAAATAAGATACGCAATTTGCATATCTTATTGCGACCTATGGTGCAGTGTAGACACACCCTAAATAAACCCAGTTAACATCAGCACAGCACTTTGAAATATGTTGTTTCTCATGTTGCATTAATACAATTACAATAAATACAACACAGCACAGTTTTCCGTCCTATACTGTTGTATAGCGTTGCTGTTTGCTGTTTAGAGAATTGTTATACCCATCCCAGAGATGAAGTGATTCCCGTATCACTTTTTGGGCCGGTTGAGATGCAAGGAGCTGTACTAATGTAAGGTATGAATAGACATATTAGTAAGAGTCTTTCATTCAGAAATACAATAATGACGAGATTGTGTTGCTTGTGTTTATTTTCAGTGCTTCAAAAAGGGAAAAGAAACACCAAGTGGAACAGCTCTGTAAGTGTCCGTGTCAATGATTTTTGTCTCACGTGAATATATTTTAAAATAAAGCCCCTCCTACCCAGTTCCAGGTTGGGGTGTTTTATTCCCTTAACATGAATAAGTGGGAGGCAGTGCTGCTAATACAGCAGAGCATGGGAGGGCACCAGCAGCCTCTTTCGCCTCTCTTTATCTTAATGGTGCTTTACGCTGTCAGGGCTGGAGGGGGAGGGAGAGGAGCAGGAGTGGAGGGGAAGGGGCAGGCAAAGGGAGCAGTTTCCCCAGGGCTCAGTGATTTAAAAGGGGCTGGGGCTGCAGAGTAGGGTCCAGTGGCGGTAAGGGCTGGCTGGGGAGTGCTGAGGGCTGGCTGCTCCTAGCCACGCCCCTTCCACCCAAGGCCCCGCCCATTCTCAGGGAGCCTTCTGGTCCCCACAGGGCCCAGCAACGTCTGTAGCTGGCCCTTTGTGCTGTGCATTATCGGATACTCAAGTTAAAGTTTCTTATCCTTTGCCAGTTACAATCAGCACATTGAAAGGTGCTGCTAAGAAGAAGACTCCGTAGCATAAAAACTGAAGGGAGGCAGCATAGTCTAGTGGTTAGAGAAGACTCTGACACTGACTTGGTGAGGGACTTTGAGAAAGTGTCGCATTTTTCATCTGTTTCTGTCCCTATAATAGACTATGAAATGGAAACAATCTTCCTTCCTTGCTTAACAACAGTGTTGTGAGGCTTATTCCAGTAACATCTGTAACGTTCTTTGAAATCTTTGGATGAAAGGTGTTAGGCCACATCTCCAGTTGCAGGAAGATTGATGCTCTGGCGATCAATCTTCTGGTGTTTGATTTAGCAGGTCTAGTAAAGATCTGCTAAATCGAATGCAGAGGCCACCCCGTCAGTGGCAGTACTGCTCACTGTTGAGAGGCATAAGGGACGTCAACAGGAGCATTTCTCCCGTCGACCTCTTGCTGTGGAGATGGCACCAAGCTCGATTAAGTTTATTTACATAGCTGCAGTTGCACACCCTGAGCTGACCTTCCGGGTATAGTGCAGACTTGGCTCTACAGTAATATAAAATATTATTGTTGTTATTAATGCAGCTAATATTAGTAAAAAGCTTGGATGTGAGTTAATTAGCTCAAGATACAGAACATTTAATGAACTCTTCTGCACCATATGCGATAAGTACCTAAGATCCATATGTCCCTTCTTTAAGCCGTGGCAGCCCACGTGGAATAGGAAGACACCAAGCCAAATGAAAAATGGCCACGTCCAGTTCTCTTTGCTGTCCAAGCAGATGCAAAATAATGTTGCTAAACTATTATCCTGGCCAGCTGCCTGCACCTCCCCTTTCCCCTTCATAGATTACTTGGACCAGGAGTATTATAACCCAGTGGCAGGAGCAGCATGGAGAATCAAGTGCTACTCGCTGCACATAGAATCATAGGACACTAGAACTGGAGGGGACCTCGAGAGGCATCAAGTCCAGTCCCCTGCCCTCACGGCAGGACCAAGCCCCATCTACATCATCCCTGGCAGGTGTCCATCCAACCTGCTCTGAAATATCTCCAGTGACAGAGATTCCACAACCTCCCTAGGCAATTTATTCCAGTCTTTAGCCATCCTGACAGGTAGGAAGTTTTTCCCAATGTCCAACCTAAACCTCCCTTGTTGCAATTTGAGTCCATTGCTTCGTGTGCTACCCTCAGAGGCCCAGGAGAACAATTTTTCTCCCTCTTCCTTGTAACACCCTTTTAGGTACTTGAAAACCACTCTCATGTTAGAATCATAGAATCATAGAATAATAGGACTGGAAGGGACCTTGAGAGGTCATCGAGTCCAGCCCCCCGCCCTCAAGGCAGGATCAAGCTCCGTCTACACCATCCCTGGCAGATGTCTATCTAACCTGTTCTTAAATATCTCCAGAGAGGGAGATTCTACCACCTCCCTTGGCAATTTATTCCAATATTTGACCACCCTGACAGTTAGGAATTTTTTCCTAATGTCCAGTCTAAACCTCCCCTGCTGCACTTTAAGACCATTACTCCTTGTCCTGTCCTCAGAAACCAAGAGGAACAAATTTTCGCCTTCCTCCTTGTGACACCCTTTTAGATATTTGAAAACCGCTCTCATGTCCCCCCTCCGTCTTCTCTTTTCCAAACTAAAACCCAATTCTTTCAGTCTTCCCTCTAAATCGTGAATGAAAACATTGAGCAAAACTTGTCCCCAAACTGTTCTCTGCAGAACCCCACTTGGTAGGCCCTTCCAGCATGACTGTGAGACACTGACCCCCCAATCCAGTTTGGGGGTGAATTCTTGGAGACCGAAGGGGCAGTGAGTGCAAAAGTTGTGCCTTGTTGTAGTTTGCTGCCCTGCTCTAGTGTTTTGGACACACACACGGCATAGCGCCAAGTGTATTCCACCGCTCTGTCTCATGTCACTAGGGGTGTGTCTAGATTACAGGTCTTTTTGAAAAAAGTGGCCTTTTTTCAAAAAAAAACATCCCCTGCATCTAGATTGCTGCCGCGTTCTTTCGAAAGTAAATCGAAAACACGGCAGTTTTTTTGACCGCGGAAAACTTCGTTTTACGAGGAAAAATGCCTTTTTTCGAAAGTGCTGTTTCGAAAAAAGGCGCTATGTAATGCAAACTGTGCTTTTTCGAAAGAGAGCATCCAGACTGCCTTGCTTTTTCGAAAGTACTGGTTGTAGCCTAGATGCTCTTTTTCGAAAGAGGCTTGCAGTCTAAACGTAGCCTAGGTGACTGACATCTGTCCTTTTCATTTTCCTCCAGGTGAAGAAATCCTGAGGCTACTGCGTGTGTCTAAGAAAAGCCACCTGTACGAGGACTTACGCCCTTGCGTTAAGCCATGGGATTAGCCACCGTGCACTGCAACCATTACTCTAGTTCTTATAGCTCCTTCTCTATTTATTGTCATTTCACACAATGATCCTTTCCAAATGGTTCTTTCTGTATGTTGATTATCACCTACTGCTTTGAACATTCATGCGGGAGGGGGAAAAGAAGAGGACTACGTAGCTTGGGTTTGGTCTAGCGCCATCTTTATCCCTAAAGGATGTTTGCATGGAATCAGGATCATTATTTTTTAGGAGTCTGTTCCTGTTGATTAGGCCGCAGTGGTCATAACAACGAGTTACCTTACCGGGTGATGCTTCCTTGTTACCCGTTAAATGGTGGCCTTGCCAGGCTGGAGTAACCCCATGCCCGACGTACAGTGCCGTACGGATGCTGGGCCCACTAGGCTGGAGCAGCCCCTCCCCCTCCGGCACTCCAGCTTGGCCAGGCCTCCTACCCGCCCCTGTTGAAACGGTTAACCCTAATGTTTAACCAGCTGACAGATTACACACGATTTTACATCCCTAGTGGCCACGAGGGGCTACGCCGTCACAACCAGGGCAGTTTGACGTCGCGTGTACAAATCCCAGTAGTGGTTAATCCCTTAAAAAAGGGAAGCCTCAGGGACCGAACTAAACCGCTTGGATGCTGGTTTAGCTCCCTCCACGGCCCACTGTGTGCAAAAGTCATTGAAGGGGTCTCGGTTCATGCCTATCAGCACAATCGGCAGACCCCTCCGAAAGGCAAAGGCCTCCAGAGCATCCTCAGCCCCACATGAGGCCCCTTCCAGCCAGTGTGGAGGTGTTCTGGTAGTCCTGTCAATGAAGCCAGCACTGCTACTGCTTTTACTGCACCCCTTTGTATGGCACGGTGGGTATCAGGGCCTGCAGCTCTCACTCTAGCATCTTTCACAAAGAGTGTGTTAAAATAAACTCTAGTTTTCGAGTCAGTTCTCCAGTAGTAACGTTGAGGGCTCATCTCCCCTCTCTTCGCTGATTATGATAAACCAGCAGACCATTTGTCACAAGACTGCAGCAAACTTTTAGACACTGCTCACAGTTTGACTCTGTACATTGCTGAAATTGTCAACATACCCCATGTGCTATGAATGAATTCCCGTCTCTCAAGGGCAAATACTCTTCTCAGACAGCGGAAGGTGCTGTTCCTAAACGGGAAAGAGCATCTCAACCCTTGTAAAATTGAACCTGTTCTTGACTGACAAAGTGACACGAGTCCTACCAATGTAACATTAACTAGCTTCCAGGGAACATTACAGCATAACAACTTTAGTCCAAACAAATGCTCTTTATTACACACAATAAATGAAAATGCTTTCTATCTCATGAGTCATCTCCTTTACATGTGAATACTTTTGCTGTATATTGCAGGTGTGCAACCTTTATTTGCTATTTTTCATCACAAGATTGAAAAGTGCTTTCCAAATGTATGAATTGATAGTTTGTTGATTTGCATCCGAACTCCAAAGATGCTGAGAACCTGCAGCTCCCATGCACCTCAGTGAGAGTTGCGGATGCTCACTGTCCCTGAACACCCAGGCCCAAGTCCAAAGCCATCAACTCCGACGAGAAGTCTTGGGATGCTGTTGAGGGAATGAGAAAAGTAGGATTCGGAGCCCAGCGAAAAGGTTCCATCCTCTGGGCAGCACAGTGAGGGGCCCTGCGATGCCGTGCCTTGCTCCAGCATGCAGGGGAGTTTTGGGGTGAGAACGGACCAACAGAGTCGTGAGAAAACAGAGGGATGGTCTAGTCTCCCCTTGGAAAGCAACTGCAGTAGCCACGGGGCCTACCTGCTACTGAGACTGTAGTTTTAGTTGTTCAGGTGTTGTGTTGTCACCTTGCTGCATGGAGAAAGATCTCTTCAAACTGACCCCCACCAGTCAGATGAGTTACTCAGGCGGTTTGCTGGGGACAGGGTTTACTCTGACTGCACCCGTCATTAACTTGAACAGAAATATGGAAATTAGATGCTGGGAAATGAAAAGGAAACGTACCCACAGCAAGTTCCTTACACAGTCACCAAATTGCACAATCTAGGGACATACCTCACTTGTGAACAAAGAACCTCATCTACAAACATGTGTAGCCATAGGCAGGTTCCCCCTTGAACACTTGAAAAAGAAACTTGGGGAAACGACTGAACAGGAGATAGAGAAACATACACATACCTCAGGAGGTACGAGTTCATAATTTTGCAATCTACATTGTTCCACTTTCAGAACTACACACCTATCTCCTCAGCACTGGGACAGGGGCCAAGACCCATCCCTGGATCCAGGAGTTAGCGACTTAGCATCTAAGTAAGTCTCTGAAGACCCTGCCCCAGCACAGGGGAAAAGCTGAGACAGAGCCACACACCCGCAGAAGCCGGGGCACCACAACACAAGTTGGCCCAAAATAAACGACAGAACGTCTCCTGCGCAAGAGGGGTTCTTTGCGCAAGAGGGAGCAGTGTAGTCAGCTCCTTCTTGCGCAAAAGCCTCTTCCGCAAAATGGCAGCTCATTAGGTATGCAAACGAGGTATGGCAATATTCATTGCCACACCTCATTTGCATATCTTCTTGACCAACAATGCACAGTGTAGACGTAGCCTCAGTCTGGATGGGTCCCAGCATGGGAAGGGGGCAGAGGCTTTGAAGAGGAGGGAAGGATGCAGTTCAGGCCTCAGCTACCATGACAATAGTATCCAGGAGACAGGGAATGTTGGAGCTCCGTTGTCGGGGAAATGGTGGCCTTGACACAGGGCTGTTGGAGTCAGTGGCAAGAGAGGGAACGTAACCCAGCTCAGCTGACCTGCAGGTGTCCAGGAAGAGCAGTCAGCTTAGCCCTTTTGGACAGCGAGCCTCTGAGCCTGAGCTGTCCAAATAGCACAATCCCACACACCTTAAAAGTAGCTCTGTGATGGCTGGGAGGGGTACTACCCTTTTCTAGACTGCCCAGCATTCAGTAACTAAAGGGTTAAAACCAGAACAGTGGGTATCCCGGAAGTGGTGTCAGGGAGCTAGGAGAGCCAATGGGAAGAAATTGTGAGATGTGAGTTAAAGGCAGTGATGTGCCTGCTGCAGTTCTGTGTGTGGTTTTGGGAGAGACAAACTGGGGGGAGATGACATGAATCTTGGAGCCAGACGTGGTACGTTCATCAATATCCATGTCTACAATGGGCGGCCCCTGGGACCAAGAAACGTGGCTAGATAGGGAATGTATAGTTAGATGCAATCAAGGGATTGGTCCTGCCTTGGGCGGGGGGCTGGACTTGATGACCTTCTCGGGTCTTTTCCAGCTCTATGGTTCTATGATTCTATTATAAGGGTTTTGTTTTTTTCCTGATTTGTGAACTCCATGCTGAGCCCAAGTGCCCTTCCTCGTACACCGTAACTTCCCTGGATTCAGCTTCAGCAATTCTGTTTTAATCTATTTTCTCAGTTGCTTTGTAACTCCAGGCAACAAACTATGCTTTACCAAGTATGTCTTTTTGTTGTTAATAAAATCACCTGATCTGATTCCTGTGTCCTACAAGGCAGAGGGTCTGTGTGCATGTGCCTGAGACGGAGAGGTTAGCTATTAGAAATTACAGTTGGTTTTCAAGCTCTCTCCTGAGGGAGGAAGAAAGAGCTTGGGGTACTCCATGGGAAGAAATTCCCAAGTGACTCTCCCTGGGTTCGGAAAAAGGCTTTTGCACTGGGGTGGTGGCATCAACCCCCTCCCTCACCCCACAACACCAGGGAATCTGTGACCTTGGGGAATTTTTAAGCAGAAGCCTACAGAGTCAAGGTATTTCTCAAGTCTCTTGCAGACCCCACCTTCTGCAATGCAAGTTCCAGAGTGGGGAACAGCCTTGACAAGCTTTGTAGATCAGTGTTTCAAGTACCCTTAGGGTACTTGAGAGAAGACTGTGGGGGGGAAGGAGGGTACATCAACAACTGAAATTGGAGAAAACTGTATTTTTGTTTTCAGTTTTACAGTGCTTTATTATTTTTGTAATTTTTACACCAAAAAATGGAATTACCCACCCAGCTATGATTAAGTTGTTTAAGCAAATGGGTTGGAATGGTAAAAAAAAAAATGTTGTATGTCGGAAAACTGTAGGTACTCGGGGGACTTTTTTTTTTTAAGCGGTACTTTATAAAAAAAAAACAAGTTTGAGAAACACTGCTGCAGATCATGTGGCTTGGGCTTAACGCCTGTACCTTGGCCTCTGCTTGGGAGCCAGAGCAGCAGCCCAAGGTGATGACACAGCTAGTGCAAGCCCATGTCTGCTGACCTCAGCATCTTCTGGAGCAGGCTGTTCCCAGCCCTGCATCTGGCAGGATTGGAAGAATCTTTAGTGTGACGGGGCTGGGCAGTTTTTATCAGGATGTGTCAATTTCACCATACATGGGGAAAAAAAGATGGACAGCAAATTCCCATCAGTGCTAATCAAAACGTACAGCCAGGCACAGTGGGAAAAATGCGGCTCAGGATCAGTAGGGCTGGATGGAGGGGTATTTCCTTTGTGTGCTGATCACAGCTTGTGCTTCAACAGTTATGAAGCTTTACCTTTTCGAATCCCAACCTTAACTGTCATTAAAAACCGTCTTGTCTCCCCATAACTGCCTGCAGCTGGGAAAATTGGAGTAAACAGAAATGGAAAAAAGCTGGATGCTTTTGTCAGAATTATTTAAAAACAAAAAACAAACAAAAAGCCCTCAGAGACTACCTCCAGTCTCTATCAGGAGTCTCTACTCAACTTTGGAGGCCCCGGGGGCCACAATGATACTCACAGCACATGCCAAGGGCTGCAGCTTAAGTGCGGTTGCATATATGTACAAATATATATGCAAATCTATGCAAATAGCACCTTTCACACTGACGGGCATGCATATAAAGATGAAGGCAAGACTCCACAACATGCAGGCCCCATTTAAGTTAGCTCTGCTGATATTAATAAAATGCAATATTTACCCTATTTCTACCCCTATGACAGCACTTTTAATGAGCAATGACAGTCCAGGAATTTAACTACTAAAACACACATCAAAAGACGACAATTATATTGACTACTTCTTTGTTTTGGCTCCCAGCTGCAGGCCACGTGTTGAGCCTCACATAATCCCAAACTGCACCACGGACTGTGGGCTGCATGTGGCCCACGTGTTGAGTAGCTCTGCTCTCTATGATTCTGCAGGAGATTTAACTTGGGTGAATGGGATGCAACTGAGCCAGGGGACTGCAGTGGGTAAGACTACCTGTGTAACTCTGACCCTACAGTAGTGCACTGTGTGTTGGCAGCAGCTGTCTGTATGTAGCTGGATCTGACATGCCTGCACGTAATCAGCAAACATGGTAACTTGAGATCAGCAGGGCCCACATGGCTCCATCAGGCTGCTGTAAAAATTGCAAAAGGCCCAACCAGGATACAGTAAACTTCCGATAATCCGGCACCTTTAGGACCCAGGGGGTGCCGGATTATCAGAGATGCTGGACTATCAGAAGGGGGGGGCTACGAGAGGTCTGGGGTGGAGTGGGAGGGATGTGCCCCTCAGCACTGCAGGACCAACCCGGCAGCACCCCAGCTGCTCTGCCCCAGGCGTCCCCAGGTCAGCCGCTGCTGAAACTGACCAGCAGCTGACTTGGGGTAGCCGGGGGCAGAGCAGCTCCAATGGTCTGGCTGCCCTGAGCACTTCCAGGTTCCAGATGGTGCTGGACTATCAGGGAGTGCTGGACTATTGGATGCCGGACAACTGGAGTTTTACTGTATTTTGTCTGGGCAATAGGGAAGGCTCCCCCGACCGTGGGATCTACTAGGCTGGAGTTTCCCCACAGGGGCTGGATGTTCCGTCCCTGGGTACCCGTGTCACTGGACTAGATGCAGCAGTGCAGACAACAGCCCTGGCTGTCTGCAGAGAGAGCAGGAAGGTCAGGATGCTCCCTGGGGAGCCCTGGAGTGCGGGGGGGGCAGGGGCTGTCCTGTCTGACCACCGGCTCTCCATGCCCTGGGGATTACAGTCACCTCCCCCCCCCCCCCCGGGAGATGCTAAGGCCATTTCAGTGCCAAAGGGTCATCAGCCCCTCTACTAGGACTTGTCTGGCACCAGCGTCTGCCAGTCCCCGCCCCTCACGGGAGGCTTACGCTGGAGCGTTGGGAAGAACTTTCAGCATCGGCTTGAAACAAAGCAGAGAACACCAGTCTGAAAGGAGCCAGGCTCCGCCGCCTCAGGGGGCCCAATCAGTGGGGCCATGTCACTTAGTGTCCATCAGCCTGAGCTACTCCAAGGACCTGGCTTCAGGGCCGGCCTGGGGGCCTACAGGAA